TCCAAGTTTTCGAATATGACACGACCATAGTCCTTGTTTCAGTTTTACGTTATTTTACATGAGAATTTTTCTATTTTCACAGACTTATGCTTGTTTATTGTGCCAATAAGTGACTAAAGCGTACTGGCATGGCAAGCTTTGATACATTTCCTTGTTTTATTAGAAGGTGGAAGGCAGTAAAGAAGCCCAAGATTTTCATATCGGCTGCAGTGCAAATGTAGTTAAGCAGGCCAGATAATCTTTTTCACGGTCTACTTTTTAGATTACGTTTGATATCTACTACTGGACACTAGAATGGATAAGATTTTAGCTTATTTTTCTTCCTTAATGTTATCTTTTTCTGTCTACTTAGATCATGTAGTTAAAGTTTCCTTTTGTTAGTTTTGTAATTTCGTCATCATTAGCAACAAATAGGATGTGCATTTTCACTTTTAATTCTTGATTTACCTTTCATTGCCCTTAAAACCAAATTGAATAGTGCAGGTATAGCCATCTTGTTCTGGTAGCCCTAGCATTAATGATCCATTTGGACCCAAAAAAAGAGAGAGAGAGATTTATATAGCCGACCCCAAATTTATCGAGGACGAAACTTGATTTTTCTTTTGTTGTTTAACGCCCTGGCTGTAAGTCCCAAATTAGTGCCATCTGCTGTCCATGTGCTCCCGTGCATTCGAATAGCGAAATTGATATCTCTGTGCTTAGCTAAAAATCAGTTTTTTAATGGATTTTGATAAAAATTAATGAAATGTGTAACTAAAATGTTGATAAAAGTTGTTGGCCCTGTAGAATGTAGTTGACCACTAATGGCTATATCTTGTATCGTCAAGCTTTCTATGGCTATAGATTTCTTGTTTTGAAATGGCTGAAATGACTGTGTTTTGAGGCAGGTGAAAATTTCTGACCTTGAAGGCAAAGTTATTGGCATTTTATTTTCAGCTAACTGGTATCCACCTTGTCAAGAGTTCACTCGAGTACTAGCCAATTCTTACGAGCAACTTAAACACAGTGATCCTGGATTTGAGATAGTCTTTGTCTCATCTGACGAAGATCAGGACGCCTTCAATAATTATCATGCTTGCATGCCATGGCTTGCAGTTCCATTCTCCGATTTGGAGACGAAGAGATCCTTGAATCGAAGGTTTGATATTGAAGGGATACCCTCTCTAATTGTTCTTCAACCAAACATAAAAGAAGGTACTGCAATTCGAGATGGGGTCGACCTTATTTATCGCTACGGGATACAAGCTTATCCATTTACTGAAGAGAGGTTGCAAGAATTGCTGGAGAAAGAGAGAGACAAGCACAAAAATCAGACTCTTAAAGATCTACTAGCCAACCGTGAAAGAGATTTTCTCCTGGGCCATTCGACACTGAAAGTAAGCCCAGTCTACTGTAATTCACATAATCTTTGGCAATTGTTCTTGTTTTGTCACTTCGGATTATTGCAAAAGCTGAATTTGTAGTCGTCTAGTCATCATGTTCGAGCAGTAGCTAGGTTTGGGCGATTAGAGAGGCTGCGTTTCTGTTGGTCCTTATTATGGAAGATAACTTGCAGTGCATGTTTAGGAAAAAAGTATGATCTGGTGTAATAGCAGATTTAGAGGAATTTTTTTTTTTTACCACAACACATGAAAGAACATTTTCCCTGGGTGCTCTTCCAGGTTCCTGTCTCTTCTTTAACGGGGAAAACGGTTGGACTCTTTTTCTCGGCTCAATGGTGCCTTCCCGGCGTCAAATTTACACCCAAGCTCGTTTCTATCTACGGGAAGATTAAGCAAGAGCTGGCTGTTGAGGGTGATGAGCACTTCGAGATCGTGTTTGTATCAAGTGACTGTGATCAAACAACGTTTGATTCCTATTTTCAGACAATGCCA